GCGTGACGAAATTAAGGGGGGGGGGGGGGGTGATGAGCATTTTCGTGATCGTAAGTCGATGCCTGATAATAAACAATACGAACGTTACTCTTACTACTTATCTCTTCGCGACAATGCGGCGAAAGAAACATAAGAGACTTAAACTTACCGTCAGAAACGAACTGTGGACCTGACAGTCTATCCCTATTCGTAGTGATGCGTCGCATGAGCTCTCTTTTCCTGCGGACGGCGAACAGGTGATTGCTCTATGTCGTTTGGTGCTTCCGTAATTTGTGATGAGGGTGGTGGTGATTGGTTTGTGGTCGAAAGTGCAACTAAGATAACACAACTAGATCGAACGCAAAGAACAAATTCTAAGACGGTCACTGGGAACAATTCGTCGCATTGGGCGACCTACTAGATTCTCAATCGTCGCGTTAAGACCATTGATTTCTCTAATTATAAAAGGGCCATTCCATTTGTGATTCAATGAAGGATGAAGGATTTTAGCTTGATATCGTTTGCGACAAAACTTAATCGACCACCAGTGATCTGGAATTCTCAACCAACGGTATGCCCGTAAAGGAGGGTCCAGTCATGAAGACTTCTAGTAATGGTACTACCATCGCTCAGAACAACTCCACAGCATCATCTTTGGTTGTATAACAGGTGAATTTTTGATAGGTATCCTTTTTAAGAAAAAAAGCAGAAGATTGACATCTTCAATGAAAGGAGTAAGCACCGACTTTCACTGCATACCATTTGCACTGCCCTGTTAGTCCTGTGTCAAATTTTGGGTGCAGGGACCTATTATTTGTTCGAGAAAAAGGAGTGGAGAGTTAGCCGATTACTACAACTTTGCAAAGAAGGAGGGAAGCCCGGCTTAGCCTGGCAACCCATATTTTAGACCAGTGACACTCACTATTACTCTGAGGTAGCAAGGCTCCAATACCAATTCGTGGACAGAAAATGATCTGTTGCCTTCTGCATTTCTACGCCCATTGTCAGCCCTTATGTCATCGAGTATTCACAATCCGACGCAGCTTTTACCACCTTTTCAGTTGTTTAAAATCCCGAAATAAAATAAAATCAGTCGACTTGTCACCGCTCATCTCCTTTGTCCTGTTAAAATCTGAGCATTTTAGTTCTACAGGAACGGTGATGGTCAAACAAACGTGCCGAAACATTCATGCATGCATGAACAATGTTGAGACCTACTTTGCTCTTTAGCAGTGAGTACTGGCCCGTAAGCGAAAATCATGAACAGCAGTGAAAGGCAGCTCTACTACGCTGAAATGAGAATGCTTAGCTGGGCATGCGGTTGGACTCGACTGAAGCGGTATGGAAGACATCGCAGCGATAATGCAAACCTCCCCTGTCTAGCTGTGGATTGATGTAGCATCTGCGATGTTACGGACATTACTGAGAATTCCACAGAGCCGTTTGATAAAGGAGGCAATGGGATTCGAGTCTCAAGATAAAAGACCACCAGGAGCCTCACAAAAAGAGCTTGCTTGACGTGATCATGGACGTAACCGAAACCATAGTTATGTTGTGAGAATAGAAAGCTCTTATGAAAGTCGACTCGGCTGATAAAAACGAGGGCCATTCGAAGATGTCAACTCTTTTACATCTGTCAGGGAGTCTGGTGAACAGCAGCAACAGCATTTGATCTAAGTAACTGAGTCTTTCCTAGCAGTTGAGGCGGAGGTGGCGTAGTAGCGAGTGGCGCACTATCTCACCCGCACGGTCTGGGTTCCTGGCTCGATATCCGCCTAAGCCAGCCAACCTTTCTATCCTTTTGTGATCGGTCAGTTCCGAACGGGAGAGTAAAAGAAGTTTTGCACATGGACCACCGTAACTCACTGCATGGGACACACATGCATTCAATATACCACTACGACTCGGAATGGAAGTCGAGTGCAGGTACGCATCCTTCAGACGGGATTGAATAGCGCCTCAAGGTTTTCAAGGTTTTGTCCTTTAGACATTATCCCTAGCAGTTCCATGAGAATTTGAATTTGAAGCCACCTCTTCTAGGTGAAGACCTGCCGCCAGACATCCGCGCAATAGGTTTCGCTAAGTGCGAAATCAGATTGTAAAATACATAACAATAGGTACTTTAAGATTTATTTTTGGTTGTTTTTAGTTTTGTTGGAAAAGTTTTAATTCTCTGACGAAGGAATGAACGTAGGTTCTCATGTATTTCTTGTAAGTTTCCTCTGAAACTGTCAATTCTTCTATATTAAAATTGTTCACCATGTATGTAATTGCAGGCACGAATGATACTCCGCAAAGAACACCTGAAACAAGCATGGCNCAATACAGCGCTTTCCAATTTCGAACTCTGTCCGCTCTGGTTGTAATAGCCACGTCCAATCCTACATCTAATCGAACCCTACATTTATGAAAATTCTTTGGGTGGTCCTCAATCATCAGATGGGAATCATTTAGCATATTTCCGTTCCCTTAACTTTCTTCCGGTACACGAAATGGTTCACTTCCCGTGAAGTCCTCATTTTCTTTATTGGTGATCGTTAGGAATATAAAAGCGTATACATACCTGTAACTAGAATAGCTCCTGCCTCCAATCTTGCAGTTTTCGACAGAGAACTCGGGACAACCCTGAATTTGGTAACCTTCAAGCTCTTACAACAGAAACCAAAATTCGCTGTTTACCTCGGAGCATACATCAGAGCAAGCGAGCTAAAGTAGCCACTGGTGAATGCCATAACTGCGTTACCGATGATAAAAAACCATTGGTTCTCGAAAAGCACTGGCATCACGCGATCGTCTGCGTTATAGTTGCAGAGCATAAAATATGGAATGAATAGTAGCCGTAGGAGCACAGGAATTATAATATTGTCTGGTCCTGGCTGTAAAAAAAACTCTTCTAGCGTCAACCGATGAGCTTTGATCACTCCCCACCAGCACTCGTGCCGAGCTCCAAGGTTGGCACGATTAATGAATTCAAATGTTAACTCACGATCTGCACAAAGTTTGCAGTTGTTGAACCGATGGCTGCGAGAAGGTTGAAGTTGAGAAAAACAGTGAGGCCGAGATAGATGTCCTCTGAAGATATGAAATTAATGGCGGTCATTCGTTGAAGCGGAGATTAACGCAGATCTGCTCACTAGGTATAGCACTGTTCCACTTTTCGCCTTTCCGGTTAGGTGTCGTTCCAGCCAGTACTGTAGGGAACACAGCAAGTGTGACAAAAAATACCAGAAACACACTGAGTAGTTGCATAAAACACTAAATGGAACTCTTTCTCTCACATATGTGAGAAATTACTTTTCGAATAGCAGATTTCCATATTCAAATGAAAGTTGGACAAGGTCTAGCTGAGATAACGTACGCATTTAAAAGTCTCGGAATACTGTCGTAAGCTGGGCCGTTTGGCGTGCTCGGCAATACGGGCTTGTTTACCTCTGTTGACATAATACTTGTAGAATTCCTTAGAATAATCACAACTGAATTGTAGATTTTCGGACTCAGACAAATTCCTGCGAGTAACTTACTACGTGAGTCAAATAGAAAAACGATATTATGCAGAGGATAAGTACAGCCAACACAATTGAAAAGTATGACATTGCCACCGATTTATCGGCCACGAACGCTTAAAATTCAGAAAAATTTTCATGCACATATATATATATATATATATATATATATATATATATATATATATCCAAAATCGAGGGAGCTTCACAGAGGGATTATTCATTGGTTAGAACACACCTAGGTTTGTAGCAATGGAGAGAATGCTGATGAATATGCCGCAAATATTGTTACCAACTACGATAGCATTTGTGTAAGCTGCAGGAAAATCGGCCGTCAAGCGGAGCACTGAGTTCTGAAACATTCTATTAGAGGAACAAACTTAATGTCATTGGGTAGCGGTTTCATTTTTGAGCAATTGAGGTGTTGTTGCGTTTGAGAAATACCTAATTTCGTGAGCTCGCCCTTCTTACAAATAAACCCAGGTATCAAAAGGAATTCAGAAAATGGTCCAAGTTTCTAAGTGTTAAGGGACGAGGAGCTCATAGAAATGCTAAAATAGTTTGAGCATCTTGGCAAAACAGTTGACCAAATTAGATAAAGCCTTTTTATATGGTGGGGGAACGTGAGGAATTTGCGACTATTATCGTGCAGACTTGTCCGATTCCTGCAAGCGGTAAGCCATCATCGGACGCACCCGACCTCTTCTTACAAGGAAGGTCTTTCAGGGCGCTTTTCGAAAATGGTTTTTTGCATGTTATAGGGGCTTGAGCAATGAGTAGAGAACTACTGTCTATCTCCGCTAAATGGCCTTCTGAATGCCAAAAAAAGAGTGAAAATGATTTTGTCAGAAACTGCCGTTCTAACCCACTAAGCGTCGCTTGCTTCATTCACGGCGTCGCGTGTCCGCACTGTAGAAGGCGCCAGTGGACTGCGCATTAAAAATAACGTGAACGGTATTCAAAAAAGGGGGCCACAT